GTTAGGTTAACCGCAGCCTTCTTTAAAAGGTTTCTATCTTTTTTCTAGCCCTTATGGAACATGGTGGCAACCTTGTGTGGATGAGTTGGTCTTGTGCAATACCCCTCACCAGTTTTTCGTTGGACCGGATTTTCTGCATTTGTGCAATACAGTCCATGACCACTGATGAGTGGTTAAGCTTCACTACTAGTCCTAGAACCAGTTTCTTCGGTTTTAAGACTAGCCATTTGGAGCTACACGGTTAGGTATTTTCGGGGAAGTGAGGATTCCTTAGAGGGCTTCTGCTTTCTGGGTAGGAGTCTGATCCTTCGGAAAACGGCTCCATGTTGTCAACCTCCCAGGGAAAGCTTCTTCAATTGTCAGCATGTTGGCTGTGTTCAAAATATCGTTGTTTGGATATCTTAATCGCTTGCGAGGCAGCCTGTATTGTTTGAATCTCATTTCGGATGAACAACCTAACCGCCAAGAGCTATTGTTTAAGCCTTCATGTCTGCTATCTCTTCGGTTTTTGACTTTGCTGCGCGTCCTTGTGCAAAGGGAGAGCTTTTGATTATGATATCGTTTAGACACATTCTGAAAGTGTCGGCATTTATTTCTGAAGTCTTTAGAGCTGAGTTGGCTAGGGAGAAGAGTAGATGTGAGGAGATGGGGAGATAAAATGTTTAGGTGAACACGATGGAAAATAATTATCGAAAAACACAAAGATTGTAAGTAAACTTTCTGGATGCGTTCATTGCGAGAAACTTGGATTTCTAAGTTTCTTTTTACGAAGTGATAAAAACAAATGTGTAAAGATGCACAAAAACAGTGATATACCACAACCGATATGTCTAATATTTTTCAAGGAGAGCAAGTCAAAAATGTCATCTTGGTGCCAACTCAGCGCAAGGTCAGTTCCCATCCTCAATGTAAAAGTGAGCAAAATCTAAATCTTTGACGCTACTGTCGATAAAACTCTGGAAAGCCTGAGCAGCATTTAGCAAATCAAAAGGCATACGTATGAACTGAAACAGTTCAGTTTATGCAACCGTTAATCACGCATATTCGTGCGCTGGTTTCGGTTGTTGTCATTTGGCTGCCCATTTTGATGAAGAACAGGAGAAGACAGGAACGTGGAGTCGAACAGAAAATGGAGAAGTTCAGTGGTCTAAGGTTGAGAAGATGCACGACCGCCACTGTTTGCGACACCCAGCCGTATCACTCATCGGGTGTCATCATCCTGAGGTCCCCTTCCAGGGAGCCTAACGGGACCGATGTGATCCAGACTCCTGGTTAGGGTTTTTATACTCTCGTGCCAGGAGTCGTGACAGCAGTCTTTGCGACATCTCTAGTTCTAATCTGATGATTAGCTCGTACCGGATCAATCTTAGAAGAAAATAGTCGTGCCACGAAGTGATGTCGCAATGTCGTGTATATGTGGTATCGGATAACTATCAAAACGAGTCGCTGCATTAATTGATCGATAATCGCAACATGGTCTCCAGCTAGTGCGGTCTTTTTTAAAGCCATGTGTAAAGAAGAGGCTCATAGACTATGAGAAGGACGTACGATAACTTTTGAAAGTAACGTGACGAACTCCAGTTTAGCAAAAGATAGTTTCAAATGTAAATCCTTTGTGTATGTAGCAAATGAAGCGCTGAAAAGCTAGGATTCGCACTGCCAATGAGACCCAACCAGTTCCAAACCGCTGTCCAGTGCTTCCAAGCTTTTGAGATCACACTTCACTTGCTATATACACGAAAAATTTACCTTTGAAATTGAATCAGATCCCCCATTACTCACTTGAAAAGCTAATGTGTCCCGCACCAGTCGGCAAGGTCCTGTTGTGACTGGTGGGCTCTTAGTGAATAAGTAGTGTGCAACAAGATCAGGGACTAGTGTGAAATCCTCGATGAGTTTAGTCAACCTTGGGAATCAGGCGATCAATGTCTGGAAATCCTTACCTTTTTCCAGTCACATAGGTGCAAGGTTACTTGCAACAGTGAGCTCCTAGTCCATAGCTACGAAGGAACCAGAAGTAACCCTCGGCAAGGTCTTCATGGGCCTTGAGTGGTTTGCGCTGCGATAGCTTCTAAGCCTCGAGTTGCTTGAACCTTGAACCTTGAAGGTGCGTGATTCTAAACTTGACGAGAAGCCCGAGAAAGCAGAAAATTTCCCAGGAAACGCGGATGAAACGGTGCAAAAGTCACAGAAACATCCGGGTGACTTCAATAATTCAAACCTTGGGGATTTGACGACGTGGGAACTCTGTACTGACGACTAAGTATTCACAGGTGAGTTGCACTGTATGATTCGGGAAGGCCAAGCACCAACGGACCGTTAATTTAGGTTATCCCTATCTAAACATCAATTCTGTTTCTGCCTGTTAGATTTTTCTATCATTGGTTCCTTACTTCCATACATCTCAGTTGAACCTTTTGTAGAAACGGTTTATCACTCCTAGTTCTCAACTTTTAATCGCCTCTACAAGTCTGTGTCAATACATAACCAATGGTGAAAATATCTCTTCAGCAGGTCTTTACCCGCCCGCAAGGGAGACGAGAACAAATGTTACGCAAAGTGCCGTTCAGCTGCAGTGAAGGAAGGTATACAATCAATCTGTGTGAAACACAAGAGCCAGACAGCTGGGCTTCGGCTACAATAGTGGTGTAGATATCAATCATCACCGGAATAGTGTCGAGTTTGACCAATGGATAAGACAGCTGTGCTGGTCATATATTTATGTAAGCCAAAGACTAAAGATTGATATCATATTCTTCAATATGTATATGACAAATGCACACTAGGACAAGAATAGCAGAATGGAATGGTGTATACATAGTGCTAATGTAGGAAAAACGTGACCGCCTTCGTAATGGCATGCAGTGACGGGGAGAGAGAGAGATCAGTAAGGTTTGGTCATGCATGCTGCCTGAGGCGACATTAAAGAAAGTTGACTGGGCATCTGACGATAGGATTATAGGCTGACAGAGGACAATGAAGAGCCAGAAAAGGACAGTGACACTGCTATCACAACCTGAGCAAACGTGTCATAAAAGTGAAGAGTGAATAGATGTGTGTGTATAGAGATGGTGTACAAGGAAGGTGGAAGCTAAGAGACATGATTATTCACCAGAAAACACGAGAATGCTGTGAATGAATCTGGCACGACACGCCATTTTAAAAACTGTTGGGGCTTGGTGAGAGTATGGACTGTGAAACCACGCCTTGTCATGGAGGCAGATAGAGGAGTTTGGCAGAGCGCTGAAAGTAGTGCGAACTGATCATCTAGATTAGAGCACTGCAGAACGGGGTTGGTGAGTGACGCGTGGCTGGGTTATGATGTACATATCACTGGAAAACGTATACACATGGTGAAGCAGACACTGAATGAAAGATTTGGTGTACGGATGCAAGTGTAGGTGTGTAAAGATTTGCTCGCATGTTCAAGTCACACGGACGAAGGCGAGCGGAGACGCATAGCATAGGAATGCAGAAACATTTCCATCTAGGTTACAGGCCTGCAGTCAATAACTTCTGTTTGACCAACGAAACTCGAACAAATACGAAGACAACATCGACGAAAATTACATGATTGCCGTTCATGGAAACACATTCTCAACTCGTCGATCGCAGATGGCAGGCGTCAAGGACCGGGAAATCATTCGTATTGGATCACGGAAGGCCTTGGAGGTACGGGAAGGATTGTGTTAACCGGTGCTATCGCCGAAGGTCCAAAACGACCACCTTGATTTGATGGAGGGAAGCGGATGAGGAGCATTCAACAGGAGGTCAGACAAAAAAATAAAAGCACTGTGTATGCTTGATCGGTCAGTTGATATTTGACCACGGACTCAAAGTAATTCAGTATCACATATTGTTTTCACACAAATTGCAATTACAATTTCTTTGACTGTTGATGTCTAGTAGTCTACTTAAGCATCTGATAAGTAACTCTCAAACAGCAATTTGTATCGACTAAAATGGCGTGAAGGTTTTCGATCATCGCGAAATGCTGCTAGCCAGGTCTGGACAAATTTGCGACAAGGTATCGGTGGAACTATGCGAGCCTGTGCGTAATTGTCCGCCCAACTCTTTTAATCATATTTTTTGTTGATACTGGGAGTTGCTAATTGCAATTATAGCAACCAGAGAGATTTTCTGTAGCCACAGATAATTCTGGCTTAAGCAAACAAGCACTACTTTTCTAATCGTTGCACGTCGGACGAATAACCAAATAAACACGAAATAGATCATTGCTATGCGGACTGACTAGTCGTAAATTGCAATCAGTATCATCCGGACTATCAATCTGATGTTAGTTTCTGACGATTTTGTCCCATTCCAGAGATCAAATTGGAACAGATTTCTTTCTGTCCTGGAAGTATTGCTCTTTAAACAGTGTGCAGCGATGACCTCTATTGGCCTGTAAATTTCAGTGTGGTGCAGATTTGATAGCCCTTTTCTTCAATAATACAGTGAGAGTTACATGCATACGCTCCCGCTGTACTGCGACCATTACTGTTGGACGGAAATGATTTGCGCATCGATGAGATTAACTTGTCAGTCTGAATACGTTTGCCTCTTCATGTCATTTGTACTGTGCGCAAATGTCTCACACTTAGCTGACTAATCACGGCCAAGATCATGAGGTAAAGATAAAGAGTGATTGAATACTCGGAATAGAGTATGTATCAGTGAGAAAAAAATCGGTGCCACCAACAAAAAGTCACGCGATCTAAGGAATTTTCAAATTCAGAGAATAAAAATTAAAATCTTGCTTTTTATTCAACCTTATTCCTACATGTTTTCCGTTCGTTAGTTTGCTTCAAATGTTAGAAAAGTCCACCATTCACAAAGGAACTTGGGTACCAAGTTCCTCTTGCAGTTTTCCATCCCTTGTATACCATAGGAAAATGAGCCCATATTGAGTGAAGTATAACATGATATCCTGAATCAGTTTGATCAAACCCATTTGACACCACTAAACTTTAAATTTTAAATTTCGAATGATAGAACAATTATTGGATCCAAAAACTGTGTATATTTCGCAAACTTACCGAACCATCTGAAGCACTGGCTCCGACCTTATCTCCACGTGAGTTCCAACACACTTCGAAAATGCCTCCGGTCCCCTGATAACTGTTGATTAGAGTGCCCGTCTGTTAGGAAAATTAAAAAGAAAAAACAAGATTTGAACCTATGTTCCAGTGAAGAAACAAGTCATCTAAGGCGAAAATCTCACGAAACTGTTGTCTGACGAAAAACAACAACTGTGATTTGCTTCCCCATGTCCCAAGGTAACCGTACGTTCCGGGGATTAAGCTCTTTTGGTTTGAGGTGGGTAGTGCAATGACCAGCTTAACCAGGAAACCAGTGTAGTAAGAACCTTGACTAGTTGTCACAAAGAATTTTTTCTTGATTTTAATGAATCGGTTCGCCATCAATTCAAGAGTATAAGAAGATCCGGTTCGGCTCGGTTGAAGTACACCACGTGTCTAGTTGTCAGCAAGGGTTTGGTGCACGAAGGTCGAATTTGTCAGATGAAAGGCGTTCCTAATTTTATCACAATCACTAGCAAAATTCTTTGGTTACAAGTTTTGTGTAGCGAGCCTGATAGACATTTCCCAACAAAAATTGGATGAATCAGAAACTTTGGTGATCAAATGGCATATCGCCGATAATAATAAACGCACACTTGCAGAGAACATTTCATTATAATGACAATAAACATGGGAGGGGGTATCGATGAAATCAGACACACTTCATCCATCGAAATACAAACTGCAATGACTTCGAGATCAAAGTTCTCGATCGAAAGGATCACAGTTCCATCTTAAAGCTGAGAGAAATGAAGTTTATTCGAATAGTGTTAAACTGGCATGTTGCGTTTCAAGTGTCTCGTGCAATAGATCCAAACGACCGTCAAGTCCTGACATTCTGTCAGGATTGAATTGGAACCGTGTGCAGGAGAGTTTCGAAAACGAAATTTATGACACAACATCCCAAATCGCGATGCTGCGTTGATGTTAAATTGACGGGAACTGAGCACAATGTGGCTGTGCTAATGTAATTGCAACACGTGTATAGGCCATACAGACTGACTCAATCACACGAAAGCTGAAAGTAAGGAAACTTTCTTACCTATGCGAACCGTTTGTTCATCGGACAGCTAAAATCACTCATATATACGCACTTCAGAAGTAATAAAGAGACCACGGTTATCTAAAACTTTTTACCTTACATCAGCATTACTCGTCGGGTTGCCCCACCAGATTCGTGTAATGCTGCTTAGACACCGGTGTTCGAACACCTTTATCCTGTTTTGTTTATGGCCAAGTTTCTGCTCCATATAGCAGAACTGGCCGAACTGCTGCAGCATACACTCGACCCTTCACAAACAGCCGGATGTAGCGACGGCGCCACAGATGTCCCAAGTTGGCAAATGCCAACCAAGCCTTCTGTATTTCATGACCGATGATAGAACTCTCAAAAAAAAAAAGAAATCATGACTAGATCTACGTCGAATAAATACAAAGTTTGTTTGAAGCGTTCCATCTGGTAACATGCATGTGTTTACCACGGGCACGGGGAAAGAATAATTTGATAGTTCGGTCAAATCCAGTGAGTCCACCAAGGTCGGAATATTTACGTCTAGGATAGGTAGTACGTACGACGTGGTAGGACAAAAGGCATGGTCACGCGAGCTCGTAAACGTTCGCGCGCGTGTGTACCCACAAATAATGTGTGAATGCATATTTGCACTGAAAGGACCGTACAAAAACGCGCGTAGTCAAATACCCAACCAATGAGTTTTACACACGCACGCACACACAATCGGTATGCGAGTCAGACGATTGCAGAAAATTCTGGCAGAATGACGATGAGAAACGGTAGAAGAGTTATTGTTTTAGAACACGCTGGTCTCACGTGTTCAAGACAGTTAAGTAGCCCAGAGTCAGGTAGACAGGCGTCATTTACCTGGCAATGATAGTTATGAGTGCGCGCGCGTTTACGTCGGGATGTGCGCACAGGATGTTAGCTTCCAACTCGTGAGATTCAGATATCGAAAAAGATCGAAAGTGAGGGCAGTGCACAGTTGACATATCTATCGAGGTTCTGGGAAGATGGCTGTGTTTCACTGCACGCTTAGATTGTGAAATCGGATGATTCACTTGATGGTAGACCTTATATACGAAGACGAATGCAACGACAACGGTTGTCACTGCTGGTCGATACTATCGAAAAAACCATGTGAAGGATCGCAAAAAGAAACGATCAACATTTGTGGAGCATCACATCAACAAATTGTATACAGTGGCAATCAAGCGTTGAGATGAAGTAGAAGAGACGACCTGCGACCATACGAAAACTTACGGCAACATTCCAGATATGCACGCACTGATCAAAAGATCCTGTAGCTAAGAGCTGACCATCTGGACTGAACGCCACACTATATACCGGTTCACTGTGTTTCGATAGGATTCTTTGACATTTTCCAGTTTCTACGTCCCATAAGCGTACGGTTGAATCGAAGCTGGCGCTAAGAATTGAGTGGACAATAAACAAGAACGAACACGAATAAGCTGTTGGTCACTGGAAAAATGCTTTGTTGCAAAACACGATTATGGTGTATCTTAAAATGAGAGAGGCTGATCCCAAACCATGCAGACAAATCAGTGATCGACTGAGTCAAACGCAGGTTATAAATCAAAGATAGAAATGATGGGGTCATGGAAGTAATGCCTGTGTTTAAGGACTTGTCAGTGTGAAAACAAGACCGAGGCAGCTTAAACTCGGCCTAAATTCAGCTCGATTTTCACGCATGCACTAGACAACGGCCGCAGTGGGATACCGGAAAGGAGCTTTGACGCAATGTTCAACGAGCTAATTTCCCTTTGATTCTCCCAAGAGGATACAACTGATAAGGCTACCGATTTACACCATTTCTTTGGACTGTGCTTGTCTTGCTATGCTAAACCTCGAAGTTCCGAAGTTTGAGCCCCGCCATCGCCACTCAACTTGGGTGGTAGGCAGCTTTGCTGTCGTCCGGTTCGATTCCACGTCTAACCTATCGGGGCCTTATGTGGTTCACCACTCCAAGTCCTGGGGCTTAGACAGTCGGTTTTCATCACTGAACAGTAGGTCCGTGTGACTATGGGGTTCACCCCGTCTGCTGTTTTTCACACTAAGGTAGGCAATAAAAAATGAACAACGCAAAGCGAGAAATGAAAAAGAGTCTTTCCTGCGTGTTTTGGAGAGAGGTTCCAAGGGTTCTAGGAAAAGAAGTTTGTTGGTCGATCTGAAAGTACGTGGACATCTTATTAGAATAAAGTGAAAATACAACGGCTTTTGGTACGCTATAATTAGTAGTCAAAGTGAGGGGTTTCTCATCAACTAGAAACCGGCATTTCACGAAACAGCTTGCAAGGAAACAACGGAACAGTTAAAATCCGGTCGAAACGGTGTACATCCTCAGGAGTATTAAGTTCTGTGTCGACCGTGATTATCAGGCGTCCACATTCATCTGGAGCAATAACAGAATCGGGTATTTGTGGTATGAACTATTATGAAAGCTGAAGAAGCGTGAAGTGAATGCGAAACAATAACAATAAATGTTAGAGAATGAAATTGAGGTACGTTAAAATGATAAACACAGAGCGGATTTGATCGAACATCCTTGTAGTTACCATACCTGGCTATGCATAATGGAGCATTCGGGAACGCAGTTCCGGGCCCAGTAGGACTCCATTTGATAGTGTAGATTTCTTTCGTGTGTCCTTTCAGGTCATGCACACAGTTATCATGATGCATATCCCACACCTTCAGAGTACGGTCGTCTGAGCAGGATGCCAGAAGACGCCCGTTAGGATCCCATTTGATAGCATTCACTTCATTCTGTGCAAATAGTAAACAGAAACATAGACAAACGGAACTTGATGTTTTACATGTAAGTAGTGAAATCGACCACCTATGGCGCGACGATTCTTTCCTGATACACGCCAATCAGAAAGACGGAATATTTGTCCACAAAAACATCTTTGATTTAATCAAAAACAACTGGACTCCGTGCTTTCTGTTGAGATGGACTAGTCTGTCTTTTATCAATCTTTTACTATTTTCGTTCGATATTGAACATGGTTGACTAAGTGCTGAATAGAGGTTCTCAAAGTTCGTATGGACTGGGTTTATTTTGCCTGTTCTCCCAGGTTCGTAATTTGTTCGCAGATGGTCCATCACTAACCGAGACAAAATCTTCAGTGCTAAGCATGTATTTTCCTAATGACTGAGCGTAATAAGCAAGTGATATTTTGTACTCGATGAGAATTTTTCTATTACCTGGAGCACATTGGTAACTAGCGGTAAATTTCGAACAGAATCCTTCCCAACCCACCCCCAAAAGGAACGATTTCGTGAACTATAACTTTTGCATTCGACTTGCAATCAGGGATTAAGTATAACCCGTGATTTATATGCAAATATATAGCCATGTATCTACATGATTACGGATCATTCCTACCAATTTCGTTACAATTTATTGTACCGAGCTGTTTGAATTATTACATAGCAACCAATCAACTGGTACATTATTATGTGATGTCCACGCTTACCTCATGTCCTTGGAATGTTTTCACCGGGGTTGATCGACCAAGTTCGCAGACATGGATGTTCGTGTCTGTAGAACAGGAAGCGAAACCCGTCAGGGACTGCCAGTCCACGTCCAGAGTTGGAGCTGAGCAAGATAAAAGATGATGTAAGAACTTCAGGTAGTACGAACTACAAAACTCAAAACCATTGTCCGAATGACAGATTAGTTGCAAAATTAAGCATCTTAAAAATCTGTAGCAAATAAATTACGTGTATTCAAGACGCAACCATTCGAAATACAAAAGTGCTCATTATCGTGGTATGCGGGACTGGAGTAGCCCCCAATTGATATGAATCATACGAGATCACAGAGACAGAGAAAAGGAACCAAAGGGCGGGCGACAATTTCGACAGAGTGCATGTGAGTCATTGCAGAAAGATTGCACGGGTGGTGTATATGGCACGTCGACCATTTGCGCGCGCGCGTGCGCCAAGGGCACGGAAAACAAGACTATCCTCGCCGAACACTTGCAAATGATGAATTGAGACGACCGAAAACCAGGCCAAATGATTCACTTGATGGACTAAATCGAGGTGAAACACATTGTCTCAGCAGTGAGACACGATCTGGGTCAGTGTACATCCAAATGAGGGTTTATGCACACGAACAAATCCCCAAAAATTGAGGGAGAGGGTAAACGTCTGAAACGAAACCACACCAACGGAACTATGACATCAATAGCAGCGTGGACAGTCGCTAGCCCACGTGCGAGACAATCCAACAAGATGAACGTCCAATGGTGAAAAAATACATGTTGATCTATCCTGCCATCAATCCGGGATAGCGGCGAGCAGGCAAAAAAACAATTTGGGCCAGACGTCACAGTTAAACAACCGTTTACGCAGAGGCATGCTCTTTGCACGGGAACGAGAAACACAGAAACGCAAACTGCGTACTACATTCAATAACACAGAGCAGGGTTTTGCGAGATAACGGACGTTTTCGAAATAACGAATGAAGGATGAACACAGATCAGGAATGGAGAAACTACAATTATGATTTCAACATTACGAAACGGTGAGCAAAAAACCCGGACACTTTATTTAACAAAGTGACGATTGTGCGACATACCTGTGTGGAAGGAAAACTGCTGAGCGATGCGACCAGTTTGGGACTCCCAGATGATCGTCGTCTAGAAATAGAGAAAGGAAAATATTACCAACACTTGTGTTACCAAAGTGAAACTAATTAAAAAACATCAAGTACCTTTGGAGGATATATGACAAACTTTCATTCACTCCTGCTAGCTCATCGAAGAGGATGACTCAGCTTTATGTATGATTATGGATTTTCGTAGGAGTTTGGTAATGAAGGTGTCTCTAGTTTCCCCCGAGGGCGCACATACAAACTTTGCTTAGCCAAGTACGAGCGGCAAGACAGTAGGGAATTGGTGCATGATTGCTGGTGGCTCACTAGGAGTTCATTCGCCATTTGACTGAACGTACGTGCCCCCGCTGGAAATCCTTGTAACCACAAGGGTTTCCTGGACGGTCGTTGGAGCTTCTAGTAAATGTCGTCCAAACACTCAGGAGTGACTATTTGGGCACTTCGCACACATTCTCGCTGGATTTTTAGGCATCGGCTGGTCTCAATCTGTCAAGTGATTGACTGAGATGTATCCACAGATGCACTTCGCTGAGTTTGATAAGTGTCGGAGATCAGGTAGACAGACGTATTTCCTGAGTGGGGCATGACAGTGTGCTACCTCAAATGCGCTACGCTTATTAAAAAACCCCTACACACCGACTGGAAAATATGGAGTTGTGAAATAAACGCATCACTCACCTTGTCCACTCCAGCAGTAAGAATGTAGTTGCCTTTTCGATTCCACTTCAGTGCAAATATGGGTCCTTTGTGTTGGCCAAGAGTCATCGCTATTCGGCCTGTAGATAGGGGTGGGAAAATGCGTAAGTTGCGAGATGGGCACGTTTATTCATGCTAGGTTGATAGGTTGTGTGGGCATGTTAATTCCCGGTTGACCTGACCGAGGAAGGGGATAACCTAGAGGTCCCCACCCGAAGCCTTTGGCTAGAAAGCCACACCTACAAGACAACAGAACGGAGCTCGGAGTCCGCAGCTCATTGGGGGCCGAGGCCGTTTATTGGTGGACGAAAAGCAGAGATCCAGGGCTATAACCGGGGTTGGTGGACCACTGGTAGTCCACCCAGGCG